TATAGTTATAAATAAATATATATATAAATTGTGAATATTAATTATGCAGAAAATAAAAACTAGATAAAGATAAAAAAATCCTAGTCTAAAAATAAGCTTTTTTTTTTAAATTTAAAATGTAAACTTGATATAGATTTATGAGCCAATTAGATCTTTAATTTATAGCAATACACAGTATATTAATAATACTAAAAACAAACAAAAGCAACATTATAATATTTAATTCTTTAATCAAATATTAAAAAATAAATATATCTGATAAGATAGAATTGACTCATTAAATGTGCCTATATATTACATTTTTTTTCTAATTTAAACTCTGATGAGTAATAAATATTACAAATATAAAAACAAAAGGTCTTACCTGAGCCCAATTATACATATTATTATGAGTAATAGATGGATTTACTTTTGATAACAGAAAACGAGCCTAAAAATAATATGATTTGATATTAATACGAGTATGAATAAATAAACGAAAATGTAATTTGAAAAAAATAAAAATAAAAAGACTAATTTACCTGCGAACCTCCCTGATCACAATCAATATATCTTGGCATTGGAAAACGGCTTTGTAAGATTTCTTGTGCGTCGCTTACTGGTGCTTGAAGAAGTTGGCGGAAATTTTCATGTTCAGGAGAATTGTGATATCCCATTTTTCTCCACTGAGCTATATTCTAACAATAGAAAAAATAATATAAATCAACATTCAATATACTAATTTTAAAAAATTTCAATAGAAAACATCATATATTATAAAATATTTTTATCATTTAGTTTTTTACATTTTATGGATAAGTTGTATACTTTTTTTTAATGTTGACTATTCCTATTTATTAGTTCAAAAACACTTAAATAATTACTCTACATTAACCAATTTAACACTTATTGTGCAGATATTATTAAATTATGATAATGTTACTGTTTTAGTAAAATATATGAAATTATTTGAATTAGAGCATCTTTACTACATTGAAACATGGATGCTGTAATAAACATAATTAGTATGACTTTAATTCGAATATCGTTCCTCTGAATTTTCACTCAGTTATTTTATTATAATTAATATGTTACTGTTGTATTATTTAATTCAACTAACTCTTATGAAATTTTACAAAGTGTATGTTATTTCAAACCTGGCAACTGCACAATTTAATCTGTTATATCATTGACAACAAATAATAATTATTATATCTATAAATTTTCCAACATATTATTTTAAAAATATTAAGTAAATCAGATTATTATTTAATATGTACTGAATTTAATTTGATTTTTTTTATTTCATAACATACTACAGGTTGTATATTAGTGAATTCAATTTATTAATAAATAATCTACTTTCTATTATCTTTTTTTTTTTTATCTGTTTTTGCTATCAAATGTTTAACTAAACTTCATCAAATGCTCAGAATTACAATTAACAAAATAATAATTAAGTGAAAATAAGAATTTTGGAGTAAACTATTTTACTCTATAAAGTATAAAAGAATCATTTCTAAGTAATTCTGATTAAATAAAATAAAAAGTTAAACTTAGCAATGACATTTTCATTCTCAATATAATTGAGTAGATTCTTTGCAAAAATTTTTATCATATGAAATATAGTTTCTTGAATTTTTAGGTAATGCTAAATAGATTTTATACTGTATACAGAACTACTGTATATGACTTATTCACTACATAAATTTTTAATTTTTTCAGTTCTATTTAATATAACTATTAACTCTAAGCTGGAAATGACCTGAATACAATAAGAATTTGATTTATTCTAATCAAGTTGCTTTCTCATCTCCTTTATAATTATTTTTTGTCTTCAGAAATATCATAATGAATGTTATTAAAATTTATGTATATTAAAATACAACTGAACATATGACATTATCAATTAAAATGTGTATAGCATTATTGTGGATAAAAGATAAAAGTTATCTCAATAGTTTTAGTCAGGGTTGTTCAACTGGCAGCCTGCAGGCCATATCTTGCCAAACCTTAATAGATAGTTTGTGTCATTGTTATTCAGTAATTATGACATTTTTGTTAGTATTCTCCTGTACACTAACTGACAGTCAACTTTTGTGCTCAACAACATAATAATCAAATTTGTGAAATTTTGATTTGAAAATATGTTCAATGTTTGATACTTCTTATTTATGTTGTTTATATAATAAATAAATATATATATTATTTATATTTATATAAATAATATATATATTTATATATATTAATAATAAATTATAATTTATTTATATAATAAATACTTGTTGATATTTTTATTATTGAAAACATATAGAGAGAGGAATAGATTATTAGAAGATTTATTTAAGTCAACACTATGATTTGTCACTACATTATATATAAATGAAAAACAGCATTCAGTCTTTAAGAAACTAGCATAATGCTCTGTGCTCTCATTAAAATGCTGTCTAGCTATACTGTTATTTAATTAAAAATTAAAAATGTCTTATTTTTCAATATATGCATTAAAAGTTACTTCTGTAGCTATTACTTACTTCAAAGGTTTCAATTTGCTCCAGAATTTAAAAAATTTGACAAACATATTTTTGGTCATAATGAAAAATATCAACATTTTAGAACATTCTAAAAACACATCTTTCTCAGAATTGATATGAATAATTGAGTGGCTGAGAATTTAAAAATTTAGAATAAAATTAATTTTTTACCAAGAAAAACAGTTTTTGAAAATTTATGATAAATAAGCAAGAAAATGTAATATAATATATTTTTTTAAAAGTAAAATCATTTACAGATAAAATTTAATTCAATTAAATTGTATATAAACTTCACAGTTTACAACTAACTAAAAGTATCATTTTACACATTTATGGGAATCAGAAAAAGCCTTTATACTGGATTAACATTTTCAGAACCTACAATTCCATCTTCAACATGGATTCAATTCCCATGTATGTGTAAAGTAATACTTTTAGTTAAATAAAATTAAAATAATAAAATATTTTTTTTAATAATGTATAAAATTTTGTACCTATAATTAAAAAAATTATATAAAACAAGCTAATAAGAACTATGTAATTAAATAAATAACATTTATTTTTGTATACTTACTTCACCATGAAAAATAACAATATGAAAGAATGTATCCATCAATAAAATACGATCAGGTTGTATGCTACTAGTGTCTAGCAAAACAGGCTAAAAGAAAGTAATATATTTATTTAAAATAAAAATTATATTATGTATTTATTTTTGAAATATGCTGTTTATTTCTATAAATTAACTTACTTCTGGAGGTCCATTAAAAGAATATGCATACAAAATTGGTTGAATCATAATCAGAGATTGTGTTAAATCTTCCCTCATTAAAAGATGTCTAAATTAAATAAATATTTCAATTAAAAAAGTGAAAATATTTATAATTAGTAATTTTACAAAATTTATTTTATTTAAATAAAAATTTTCTTTAAAAAATTATGCAAAAGTTAAATCTGTTTACAGTAAAAACATAACAAGAACTTAACACAAAATTTGATATTATTTACAACTTGATAATTATTTGTAATCTGATATGCAAGAGCTTTGAGAAGCAAGCTCTTGTGGTTTTGCTGTATGCTATACAGCTGTTTAGTTAAAAATATCTTTATTTTAAAATGTATAATTTTTTCAGTTGCAGACAGTAAAAACGTTATTTTAAAACTTCTATCAGAACTCTATTATATCCAATGTTTATAGTGGAATCCAATTAATGAAATACTTATAAATCAGTTATACTTTTCTATAATTTTATAAATTGATATAAACTGAAAAATAAAAAAAGTAATGATGCAAAACTAAAATATCAAATCTACAAATGAGACCTTTACTGTTTGATCACACAAATTTCAAACCTAAGTACTTTCAGGCTGACAAGCCCATCATCAGAGGCACCAAACATGTTATATGTTCTAAATTTTGTAAAATATCTAATTTTGATTGTTTTAAAACTAAATATTCAAATAATGATATTATCAAATCAAATAGGAATATAAACTAAAATTATATCATTAGCTACAATTTAAAATTTTATTTATGCTAAACTAAAACAAACTTAACTATTTTTATATTTGTTCCTAGTAAAGTCATTCTTTTTGTTCAAGTGCAATTATTCACATGTAATCTATAGAAAAAATTTCAAATTTGTATTATGTGGTCATTTACAATTTTAGTAAATTTTGATGCCTCTTTCTAAGAACTGTTTTTCTAAAGTTTTAAGAAGAATTTTTAAAAGTTATATTCCAGCTGATTTTTTTTCTTCTAATTTTGCTGTTCTTAGTAATTTGTTTTCACAGGATGTGATAAGTGAACTGAATCAAGAACTAGTATAATCAACCATATTTGTCTGTCATAAAATGAATTTTTTGATATTATATTATATTTATTGTAATTCTATGAAATGAATAAAGTACAGTATTTAAGTATTTGTTTAAATGCTTTTGTTCAATTGTACATATTTATTTTTGTTTATTAAATCACAAGTCTTAAATCTAGTTTAACAACTGTAATGAGTATTTTTGTTCAATTTTTATATAACTAATTGTTGAAAAATTTTAAATTTTGTTCCATTTTTATATCAAAATAACATATTTAATAATTTAAAATAAGTTTAATTCAAGAGATGAAATTTTAATTAATTAAAGTATCACTATAAAATTAGATCACGTAGAAAATTTTATAAAGGAAAAATTGAATTATTTAAATTTTGTCAATATTATTGTAATTATCTTGCTTATTCTAATTTTATGAACAAAATTTACAATAAAACTAGCCAATATCAATAGTCTCCCATTAATAAATTGATGAAAAATGTTAAAAATAAATATCAAATTTTATGAAATTTTAATACCTGTAATAAGATGTTTCATCAGGACTATTATTAAAGACCTGTAAAAACTGTGATCGTCTGAGATGAAACATAAACTGTGGATAGAGTGAAAAGTTCTCAGAAAATCGGAACGAGTTCGGATCATCTTTATTATAATCACCAAATCTCTGACACTAGATTGAAAAAATTAAGTATAAAATATTATGTATTTTTATTTGACAAAATAATATATTTATTATTAAACTAATAAAATAATTATTATAAAATAATATATTTGACAAAATTACTTACCAATCTAATGAGCATACGATCAAGCCAACGTAATATATCTACTCCATCTTCAGATTCGGCACGAAAGCATGCTAAACGCGCCATTAAAACAGCAGCAGCTTCTTGATCAAAACTAGCAGCTATTTGGTGCAAATTAGCAGTAGCATCTGCCCAGCTATAATAAAATGTATTTGATTTAAATACAATTAAAGAGTTATTCCAAATTATATTCCAAAATTTTCATTTAAGAATAACTTACTTTCTAGATAATGTTGTAACTCTTACTCTTTTTTGTCCACTTGGATGTTGATACTGTGTTATGAATTGAATACATCCTCTGCCTCCTTGAGGAATTGGTGCATTATGCTAATAATTAAATAATTATTAATAATATAGAATTAGAAAAATCAAACAGAATGTTTATCTATAATACTAATGTCAAATTGCTTAAAGTTAGCACAAAAATGAAACTTTTGCAATCAGAAAATAGTCATAATTTCTTAAAGTGCTTATAAATAAAGTTGTTCCTATTTATTTTATTAGTTGATTAATAAGTCAATAATTAAAGAAATATTTTCAAATTAATACTTGTAAAAATATTTAATACGTTTTTGAAAATTTTCAAATTTAATTATTTCAATAACAATTATACTACAAAATAGACATTTTGAATCTTGTCTTACTAAGATTGATAGTAATATTCCAGAATTTTTTTCTTCATATCTGGGTATGCCATTTAAATATATTAATTTAAGACAAAACAAAGAATAAAAGCTTGAAATGAAATCACTAGCAATTTTTAGTTTTTGGCTAGATTAACTTTTTGAACATTAATAGTCTATAAACAAATAGGATTTTTTACAATGATTATAATTATAAAGAGAAATAAATTATATTTCATTCTAGGATTTTTCTTTCTTTGAATGAGCAATGAATTTTAAGATAAAATATTCAAAATATATTCAAAATATATAAAATATTATAAAATATAGTTTCATCAGGACTATTA